TGGGCTTCCAGAGCATCCCGGGAATGAGAAAGTCACCTGAGTTTTGGACCACCCACTGCCACTTTCTCACAGTTTGATCTTTTTCTGCTGCTTCCCTCTTTTTGTGTCATTCATCCAATTTGCTTGTAAGGCACAGGGAAGCTCCTGCTTTTCTTCTTGGTGAACTATGTGTGGATGTGAAAATGTAAAGCTGTACCTTGACTTCTTAAGGAGTCACCACACTTTACCTTAGTAACTATGCCAACTCCAGTCATCCCAATCTCTGGGAATAATCATGGAGTAAATTATATACATTTTGCATAGTCTATATAAAATATATGTTAAAGTAAATATATAAAAATGATGTCACTCAGAGTTGATGATGTTTCTAACATCTAAATTGGACATTTTTAGATAAGTTTTCTCCCACAACCTCTGTTCATTTCAGTTATTCTGATTGAAATGAAATTAATTGACTTAGAAAAATGATTACTGCAACCTGGTGCTGTAGCCTAGCAGCCTTGCATGAGCCAGGCCTTTGGCTTATGGCCTGGGAAAGCAGTCGAGGACGGCCCAAACCCTTGGGACCCTGCACCCGCATGGGAGACCCAGAAGGGGCTCTGGCCTCCTGGCTTTGGATCGGCTTAGCTCCAGCCATTGCAGCCACTTGGGGAGTGAGTCATCAGACGGAGGATCTTCCTCTGTCTCTTTTCCTCTCTGTGTATCTGACTTTACAATAAAAGATAAACCTTAAATTTTTGAAAATAATAATTGCTGCAGCTTATCTTGTAATGTTGTTAACCACATCGCTGTGTTTAAGGATTACTGAACTTTTTGGGTAAAGGATTAGATAGTGAGCACTTTAGCCTTGGACATCGTAGGGTTTCATAGGCAACCCTTCCCCTTTGCTCTTGAGGTGCAAAAGCAGCCACGAGGATATATGTTAGGAGACAGCCACGGCAGTGTTCCAGTAAAACTTAGTTTATAAAAACAGAGGTGTGCCTCTGTCCTAGAGTCCCGCTTCTCTGACTACAGTAACTATTCCTTTCGGAATTTTTCTCCTCCCCACTTTCCCTTCCTGTCCCGTGCCGCTCTGTAGGACCACAGGAACCTGCTCAGTGGTATTTTTTCTTTCCAACTGAAGTTAAGGAAGGGGTTGAGGACCCTAACCATTTGCTGAAAGAATATAAAAAATCTTGGGGCAAACATAAAAGCATAAAATACTATCAGATGACTGTAGGTGGAAATGCCTACTCAGTGGGAATATATACTATGGAGAGCTAAAGAGGAAGTCTTCTTGGATGACAGGTCATGATTAAAGATGGCTATGGGACATGGCTCCATGCAGAACTCCACCCCAGAGTATGAAGCACTTATCGTTGTGATGTTAGGTAGAACACGGGCAAAATGTTTGACTCTCACATTTTTGTTTTAATGCCTATGAGGAGGAAATGTAGCAGTACATTAAACCTGTAATGTCACTTCTGTTTATTAGGCTAAGGCTACAGGACTTAAGCTTTTAAAAGTATATGGATTTAAAGAAAATGCTAACAATAAGGAGAGCAGGCAGAATGACATTATACGATGGTTGGAAGATCGATGCCCACTTTGCTTCCTCTGGTTTGGTTATATTTTCCTACTAATAACAGTTCAATATCGTGAGGACACCATTGTCCACTCCTGTTACATAGAAATGGTAAGAGGGGTCAGGATTGTGGCACGGTGTTAGGTTGTGGTTTAGCTCAGCCCCACCCTCCCTCAGACCTGGTCACATTTATGACAACAGTTACTGTCCCTTGTCCAGCCGGACAAGCCCTCAGACCTGGTTCTTGTGTTCACCAACAGGAGCTACAGCCTAAGAGGGGCTGCTCAAGGTTCCCCTACAGGTCCATCCCAGCCCTGGATTTTGGCAGTCCAACCGGAGATGACTTAGCACTCAGTTTCTGTGCTTGTCAGCAGATGCTGCAGTAAACCCCAGCCCAGCCTTCCCCCAGGCCTAGTCCACATGTAGGCCAACTGGTGTCATAGTCCTACTCTGCCCAGTTTGCCCCCAGTTCTAGCTCATTCATGCTCAGCAGTGGTAGCAGCAGCCCAGCAGGGCAGACTCCAAAGCTCCCCTACCAAGCCCACTCCCACCATGGATCTCAAGCATAGGTGGGTGCTCTGGGTCTTGCCCAGCCAGACATGGCCCACCCTCAGTCCCAGCATTCACCAGTGGGTACTGCAGCCTTGCTCAATTGGCCTGCACGCATTCTGGCTCTTGCAGCAGACACAGCAACACAACCCCACCTTGCAAACCACCAGGCCTGGCTCTCATGTGGACTGGGGTACTGCAGCGTAGGCCAGCCCATCCCATACCCACTCAGGCAGATGTAAATTTTCCTTTGCTATATTTTTTCTTCCTCCTGAGAGATTTCCTTCAGAATTTCTTTGAGAGTATTATAGTACAAGTCTGAGGATTATTTTTTTTTCTATTTGTTTTTTACTGTAGAATTCTACTGTAGAATTTAGGTTGACAACTTCTTTCTGTACTTTAAAGATATTGTTTTCACTTTTCTTGATGTACTTTTTTCTACAAGAAATCTGGTGTCATCCCTACATTTATTTTTCTAATACATGGTATATATCTTTCTATTTTTAAGATATTATTTGATTGCATGTGGTTTTCTTCGTGTCTCTTGTGTTTTTATTGAGCTTCCTGGCTCTCTGGGTTTATACCTTTTTCAAACTAGAAACACAGCAACAGTAAGCACACAATGAGATAAAAATTGCAAAGTCCAGCATCCAGTCACAGATATTACAGCAGAGCAGCGAGTGAGCCTGCTGGCTAAGCGGCCCAAACTGGAGTTCATTCCGTTCCTGGCTCTGGCCCGTGAGAGTACCCAGATCAAACTGTGGCCATGATTTCACCAATTTTTTTTTTTTTTGTCTACTCTCCAATCTGCTTTCCTTTGGAGGTTCAGATTCCAGATGTAGTAGACAGCTCAAAGTTTCACAGCTCTCTAATTTGTTTTCTATTTGTGAACCACTTTTATTACTATGTCTGCAAGTCTATTCATCTTTTCGCAAACAATACCCAATCTGCATTTATCACATCTAGTGTGATTTTTATCTCACACATCATCATTCATCACCACCAACTTCAGTTTTGAATTTTTTTTACATATCTTTCATATATCTGCTTAACCTTTTGAGCTTATAGCATAAGATTACAAAAACTGCCTTGATGTCCTCCAGTAATTTAACATCTGTGCCAATTGCAGGTCAGCTTTGATTGACTGATTAGTGTCTTAATATTGGTAATATTTTTGTCTCTTTGCATACTTATAGTCTTTTTTTTTTGTAAGATTCATTTAGAGGGGCTGTCATTGTGGCACACTGGGCTAAGCCACTGTCTGCATTGCCAATATCCGTGTGACAGCACCTGTTCTGAGTCCCAGCTGCTCCACTTCTAATCCAGCTCGCAACTAAAGCACCTGAGAAAGAAATACGAAGCCCAGGTGTTGTTTCTGACTGAAGGGTTCGGCCTGGCCCAGCCCAGGAAGGAAGAAAAATCGGTCTCTTTGTCGATCAATCTGGCTTTCAAAAACATAATCCCATTTCTATTTTTTTAAAAATGTTGATTTATTTGAAAGGCAGAGAGAGTGTGAACATTTCCATCTGCTGGTTTACTTCCTAAATGCCCACAACAGCTAGTTCTGAGCGAGGTTGGAGCTGGGGACAAGGAAGTTAGTTCAGATCACCCAAATGGTGGCAGGAACTCAATTCCTCGAGCTGTCACCATGGCCTCCCTGGACCTGCACTAGCAGGATGCTTGCAGCTGGAGTTGCAGCCGGGGATTAAACTCGCACATTGGATATGGGATGTTTAACTTCTTGGCATCTTAATTGCAAGGGGCATGTTAGCGCATCGCAGCTCTGCTACGTGAGTTTTGACTAGATGCAAGACTGCACACCTTACCGTGTTGTGTGCTAGTTATTTTGTATTCCCATGAACCTCCTTGGATTTTATCCTTTGGCAATTAAGGCACTTGGAGAGTGTGGGTTTTTTTTTTTTTTTTTTTAGGTCTCTCAGTTAACATGCTTTAGCTGTGTCCAAGCTTGGTGTAGGGTTGATTACTCCCCCATTACTGAGTGGTCTATCCAGTGCCTTGTGAGCGATGGATTTTCCCAGGGAAGTTGGTGGGAGCAGGCACTGCCAGCCCCGGGGCAGTGCTCCACGCCATTCTGCCCCTGACTGGAGCGCTCCTTTGCCAGCCTCATGCAGCACCTGCTGATCGCCGTTCTGGTTCTCTGCTGAGCCCCACAACCTGTCTCCGTGCGGCCTTTTCCTCTCTAGTTATTTGTCCCTGAACTCTAGCTGCCTTAGGCTACCCGTTAACTTCTGAGTGCCCATTCCTGCACTGTCCTGGGAACTCTGTGAAATGTGGGCAGTGAGCAGAGGCCTCCAGTCCCACCGTGTGTATTGTTTGCATCTCGCAGGAACCACTACCCCATTTCCTGAGTCCTGGCAGCAGACACCCATGCTGCAGGACTTTTGTCTGTGAGCTGTTGTTTTGTGTGTTTGCTGATGTCAGGCAAGAGGTTAGATCTGCTCCCCGTTGCTCTGTCATGGCTGGAGATGAAGGCTTCTCAACAGTGACTTTCAGTCTCAAGAAGTTGGGGTTCAACTGATCTAATCATCCCATCAAGTTTTGTTTGGGCTGGGCCAATCTGGGCTGGCTGTATACATACAGAAACACATTCACATTATGTAAATATACCAAATATCCAAACTAGAACTTGAAGTCAAGCTGAAAGTTTTATGTGAAAGTCAGTATTTGTTGCTGTTTTTTTTTAATTTAATGCTGCTAATTTCTAAGAAATTATGAATGTAGTATTGACATTTTTCTAGATTCTAGCATCATTTCTGGTGATGGTGTGGGAGGGAGGAATTCATAAAAATAACTGTAAATTTTATCATTTAATTCCTTTACTATTTTTTTTTTCTTTTAAAAATTAGAGGACAATGTATGTAAAAATATGGAAGAATCACAGGAAAGCCACCTATCCAACCACCTAGATGAAATTGTTGCTGCTGTCAGCATCACTCCGGGAAACAAGACCCAAAGCAGCCTGCCCCAGACACTGCTGTTCCAGGCTCCGCGCGAGAAGCTGCAGATCTGCGAAGAGAAGGCACGGGCCTGCTCCAGCAGCGGGGAGGTGAGCAGCCTGGGGCCTCTGCCCTGCCCTGGAACCCCGAGGGGCTGGCATTTAATTTCTAACCCATGGGGTCTGATGCAAGCAGTATACAAGACTGTGCTTTTATGATAGCAAAAGGGAGGGAGGGACCTCAGGGAGGCGTATGGGGCCAGCATGCGCAGCAGTAAATATTGACGGAGCTTCTGCCCTGTGACAGGTCTGGTCACTGGAATAGTCCAGACACAAAGCAAGCCTTGCTTCTGCCTCTAGAGCTTGTTTTTACCTTCTATTCCTAAGCTATGTATTCTTTTTTTTTTTTGAAAGTCAGATGTATAGAGAGGAAGATCTTCTGTCTGTTGGTTCACTCCTCAAGCGGCCACAATGGCCGAAGCTGAACTGACCCAAGCCAGGAGTTTCTTCTGGGTCTCCCACATAGGTGCAGGGTCCCAAGGCCTTGGGCCATCCTTAACTGCTGGGATTAGAACCATCACCCACAGGGGATCCTGGCACGTGCAAGGCAAGGATTTTAGTTGCTAGGCTACCATGCCAGGCCCAAGCTATGTATTTTTAGCAAACTCCCCACCATTCTCCCCTCCAAAGATCTCTATTCAATCTTTCATTGCCGGTTGCACTTCTGTATCCCTCTACAGTATCCCACCTGCCCAGTCATCTGCCATTTATTTTGCAAATATATATGGGCTGCTTGCTGTTTGGTGCTGTGCAGATGCTGGGGCACACTGGGCACCCTGGCAGCCTCATGATGGAGCGACCTGTGGTGGGTGTGAGATGGAGCCCTGTTCCACATACAGGCGGACCCTCCTCCTGTGCCTCGTTACTCTGAGGTGTGGTGGGTTTGGCTGAGTGGGAGTTGAGTCCTTATCTCTCCAGCAGTGTGGGGACTGCCCTGCAGGAAGCGCTCAGGCCTTACCACCCAGCAGGGTGAGTACTACAGATCCTTTGCTAAAGGTTACTCACAGGCACATATCTAGAAGCTGCGGCCTTCTCCTATCCCCTGTGCCTAAGATGAATAAAACCCCACTGCTGTGTACCCTGGCCTGCCATCTTCCTCCCACAGTGCCCCATCCTGAGCCGTCTCCTGCCACAGACCAGACTCTGTATCCCCTAATAAAACTCTGCCTGAACTAAAAGTGTCTTTAATCGCCCCGTACCTAACAATGCTGACCTTGAACACTTGGTTAAGGTGCTAGCCAGCAGGTTTCTGTACTGTAGAATTACAAATGTTCCCTTTCTCAAGCATGACTGTTTATGGAGATTCACTGAGACTATGTCTATGTGTAAAACTTCGCCTCCTGATTTTAACACCCAGCTGATTCTCACCTGATCTATCACTTCTATGGTCAAACAGCCAACTTCTGACATCAGCATTATTTCAATATTGATTTGTTGGCATCCTACTATAAGAAAGAGCTTCTTTTTTTAATTCCTTATTTATTATTCATTTATACATGACAGTAGAGGTTCTAGAAGTCCTACTTTTCCATTAATCTCACTGATACTTAAGTGGCCCTATATATGCCACTAAGAGGCCCTTTGAGCAGCTCCTGAGCCCTCCTTTTGTGAGCATTTCCTTAATTTCTGATACTAGATTTTTCACGTTTGTCTTAGACACTTAGATTTTCAGGATTCTGGGAACCCCAGTTCTAGTTCATAGGGAGCCACATTTAGACCCCAAGATCTTGCTATGATATATCTACCTTCAAGTCTGTGTGGCAAAATCTACTGATCTTCGGAGCTGCAGAATTTAAACATTAAGAAGTTTAAGAAACGTTAAGATTAGACACAGCTCTGCGAGGCCAAGGCATTTGTGCTCCACGAGCTCTCCTGGAGTGGAGAGCCGGCCTCCCGCTCAGAGAGCTAGCTCACACACAGAGTTGGGTAAACTCAGCCTGCTGCCAGGGGCCACATGGACATCCACTCCGGCACTGCAGTCTGCTTGTGTGTGAGTCTGCCAAAGCTGCTGTAACAAATACCCCAGACAGGGCAGCCACAGCCGCTGCAGTCTGTTTTCTCTGGGCTCTGGAGGGTTGGAAGCCCAAGATGAAGGTGCAGATCGACAGTGTGGGTTTTGCTTTGAGGTTTCCCTGCCTTGCGGGCAGATGGCTCTCTTCTCCCCACATTATTACACACGTGGCAACCCTGATGTCTTCCACCTCTTCTGTGAGGATGCTAAAGGATATCCTCGCTATTTTGTTTTAATTTGTTCACCCCTTTAAAGACCTTATCTCAAAATGGACTTCCATTCTGAGATGCTTAGGATTATGGTTTTAACATAATTAGGGCAGAGGGAGGACAGATTTCAGCCCATGTCAGTTCAGGAAGACACGGGAGGCTGGCATTATGCTGTAGCTAATTGAGCGTCTGCCTGTGATGCTGGCATCCAACATGGATGTGTGCTGGTTCAAGTCCCAGCTGGTTCACTTCCAATCTAGCTCCCTCTAATGGTCTAGGAAAGCAGCCAAAGGTTGGCCCACGTGCTTGGATCCCTGCCACCCATATGAAAGACTGAGTGAAGCTCCTGCCTCCTGGCTTCAGCCTGGCCCAGTGCTGGCTGCTGCATCCATCAGGGGTGGGGGAAAGGCAGAGAGTGAACCAACAGGTGGAAGATCTCTCTGCACATCTTCACTTCTCTCTGTAACTGACTTAGAATAGTTAAATCAATCCTTAAAGAAGAAAAGATACAGAGAGCAGTAACCACCAGTTCCTTAAGATTTGGGCCTCAAATCTGGCACGATGACATTTCCTTCATGTTCTGTGGGTCCAAGAGTGTAATGTTCAGAATCAAAGGAAAGGGGCGCAGCCCCCCTGCCCTCGATAGAAAGAGTATCAAAGAATCTTGGAGCTGTTTTCAAATCACCAGTCTTGCTCTGGGGATAGCCATCCCTCAGTACCTAGGGGGTATTGGCTTCTGAACTCCTACCCTAAGAAGTGATTAAGTCCCTTATGTGGATGTTTTTGCGTTCCACATAGAGCCCTCACATCTTCCTGTACCTTTCAGACCCTTTTGAGATGATATGCAACACAATGCAAATGCTGTGCAAGTAGTTGTCAGAACCCATTTGATGGAGAGCAGTGACAAGGGGGAAAGGTCATCACACACATTCCAGAGGTGATGATTTACATCCACGGGTGCAGAGCCTGTGCCCACGACACGCAGCCTACCTGGAGTTGGGAGCCCACAGTTCTCTCTGATCTAGCCCTGCATGAAGATGTGCCTCTCATTCCTGCTGGCTGCTTCTGCTATTCTAATACCATAGGCTGCCAGGGGTGTTAGCTAAAGGGTATTATTCAAAAGTTACTACCTCTTGGGCCAAATATGTGGGCTGTTCACTGAGAGATGGGTGGAAACAAGGAAATGGTTAGATCTCTATTCTGCTTTTCCTGAGTTTTGTTTGTTCCATTACATCCCTCCCGCTTTAGATGTACAATCAGATGTTAGGGAGGCCGGGGAGGGTTGGACATCGGGCAGCACTGTGGTGCAGAAAATTAAGCTGTAGCTTGTAAAACCAGCGTTTCATAGCAGGGTGCTGATTGGAGTCCAGCTCCCTGCTGTTGTGCCTGGGGAAGCAATAGGAGGTGGTTCAAGTACAGGGGTCTCTGCCACCAGCGTGGAGTTCTAGACTCCTGACTTTATCTGGCCCAGACCTGGCTATTGTGTTCACATGGGGAGTGAACCAGAGGATGGAAACTCACTTGCTCTCTCTCTTTGTCTGTTTGTTTTACCCTGCTGAATGCTACCCAAAATATTTTTTCTGGGCTTTCTTTTTTTGTATTATCCCAGGTACTTAGCATTATGCCTGACTCAGTGTAGTAGGCATTTAATAAATATCGAGTGGATAAAACTGTGAGTCACTTTGTGCTTTCTAACTCTTAACAGTGTGTCTTTCCAACAGTACAGGCAGGCTGTTCATGAGCTGGTGCGCTGTGTGGCACTGACGAGGATCTGCTATGGTGACTCCCATTGGAAACTTGCAGAGGCATACGTCAGTCTGGCTCAAGGATACCTCCAGCTGAAAGGTGAGCTCCCCGCAGACTCCGGTGAGCTGGCTTCGTGGTTCCTGCTGCCCTCAGATAGAAGGCACTGGTAACCACAAGTACCTGGTGTTTGGAGACACTCCTCTCTGACACTGAGAACTCATTTCTTTCTAGAAAAACTCAGTGAAACAAATAAACATTCAGAAAGGGAAAGAAGATGGGATGGTCCTTCCGTGGTCTTCCAAGTGGGGTTCCCAGGAGATAACTCCGTAGGTTAGGCACCTGCGTCATAGAATGCAGACCTGGAGTGGGAACTGTTCATGTTGCTGTGAACAGGCAGTGCCCTGGCTGTGTGTAACCCAAAAAGCAAAAACCGAACCAAAACTGGCACACACAGGCAAAAATGTGTCGGGCGAGGAATGAGGGCTGGCATTGTAGCTCAGTGGGTTAATCTGCAGCTCCATGGCAAGCCTGGTGATTTTTCTGATCTAGCTCCTTGCTGATGTGCCTGGGGAAAAATCAGCAAGCAGTGGTCACCCACTTGAGAGACCTGGATGGAAGTTCAGCCAGCCCTGGCTATGCTCCCAGCCATTTGGGGAGCAAATCAGTAAGGAGAGCTCTCTATCTTCACCATGATGTCATCTCGATGGTCGTCTAGTCATCATTTATATATATATTTAAATTTTATTTTTGGTGATGTTTACATAGTTGGTTGGGTGGAAAGGGTCCAGGATCAGGGCAAAGTGGGTGAGACCATTCTTTCCACATGATCTTTTCCTTCTTCCTGTATCCGAGGGAGGAGGAGAGATAAAGGGAGAAGTCACACGCAGCCTCCCAACCACCTCAGTACCTGGGGATGGGGAACGGCCATCCAATATCATCCCAGGCTTCCCAGTGTGGAGCATGCGGCAAGGGTTCTGCTCAGGTGGTTTCGATAGTTCTGAAATGCGGCCGATCTTGCAGATGCAAGGATGAGGAAATCCTTCCAAGGTCCATTGGCTGACACAGTCCACCTCTGAGTTTCCATTTGCTTAGATATTTGCTGTCATGCTTCACTGGAGCTATTGACCAATTTGTTCTGTGTTCCTTCCTCTGCTATGAACACCAGATGTCCTCTGCAGGCTCCAGTGCTCTGACACATTCTCCATATGTTTATGGGTATGCCATCCACTGCTTTGTCAGAGCCACTGAGGAGGCCCAGTTTTGACACATACACTCCGTTGTCAGAACACAGGTGCTGTTACTCTTCCCGTGGTTGGAGTTATAAATCCAGTGGTTTAGTTGCCGGGGGAGAGACCCTCAAACAAGTCTTGTCTGAGGTGACACATACCTATCTCTTGGTTGTGCACTCACCTGTATGGGGTCCATCTCATTCTTCCACCCACATCAGCCTATGTCCATACTGGTAATTGTGATTGCTAGATCTATCTCCAGCCCCATGTCTTATGCAAACCAATGGGTGCTGCGGCTCAGCTCAACCATGCCCTCCACACAGCTGGCCCTCACATACACTATCAGGAGCTGCAGCCCAGTCAGAGAGACTCCCAGTAACCCCCACTTGGCTGGCCTCCAGTCGTGGTTTCTGTGCCTGCCAACAAATGCAGTGGACTGGTCTGGTCTGTCCCACCTCACATTCAGTTCTTATATACATAATTGGGCACTGAAGCCTAACTCATCCCAACTGACTCCACCCTCCAGCTCACATTCATGCCAGTGGCCTGTCTAGCCGGGACCACCCCCAGTCCTGGTTCTCATGCTCACCACTGGGAGTTGCTGCCCGTCAGAGGGGTACGCACAGTTTCTCTACTGGGCCCACTTCCAGTCCGGGATCTTGCACTCTCCAGGTGGTTCTGCAGTCTAGTTCAATAGGACTTGCCCCTAGCCCCAGCCCTTGCCAGCTAATGCTAAGGCAAAGCCCAACTAGCCTGCCCTTACTCTGGCTCATGCCTATACCAGTTGATACAGTCAATTACTCCAGCCCAGCCCTCCCCCTAACCCAGTTCACATGCAGGCCAACAGGTATAGCCCTGCCCATCCTGGTCTGCCTCCAGTCCCAGCTCTCACACTCACCAGCAGGAACAGTGGCCCAGCAGGAGAGTTCCCACAGCTCCCCTACAGGGTTCACACCCCACACCACCATCAGATCTCACATGTGCTGGTGGGTGCTGTGTCCCAGTCTGGCATGATCCATCTCGAAATTTGCTAGTGGGTACTGTAGACTGGACCAGCCTGGTCTGCTCCCAGTTCCAGCTCATGCTTCTGGGTGCTGCTGCCCAACCTAGCCCAGCCAGCCCCCAGTTCTGGCCCTAATGTGGACTGGCTGGTGCTGTGGCCCAACTTGGCCTATCCTGCACCCTGTCCTGGTTTTCGGATCTGCCACTAGGTGTCATGAACTGGCCCAGCCTGGCCCACTCCCATACCTGAGCCACATGCATGCCAGTGTATTCTATAACTTGGTCTGATCTGAGCTGCTCTTCGCCTTGGTTCTTGTGCTTGCCTGCAGGGACTGTGCCCTGATAGAGGAATACCCCAATCTCATCCCAGTGACAGATCTTGTGTACATCAGTGGGTCCTTGGCCCAGACTGACTTAGTCCACCTCCTGTCATGGCAGAAACAGTGATCATGCCCAACTGACCCACACCTATTCTGGTTCTTACTGTTAGGTGTTACAGCATAGCCACACCTGGTCCACACCTAGACACAGCTCTCACATGGTTCAGTGGAAGCCGAGACCTAGCCCAGCTCATTCTACTCTCATTCTGGCTCTTATGAACACCAGTGTGTGCTGGAGTCTAGTCCAGTTTGTCATGCCCCAGATCCAGTACACACCCATACTGAAGGACACTGCAGCCATATCCAGCCCAGATCACTACCCCCATTCCAAGTCTCACATTCACCAGTGGGAACCACGATCCAGTCAGCATGTCTCCTTAGCTCTCCAAACAAGCCTGTTCCCAGCCACAGCTCTTGTGTGTGCTCATGATTGTTCTGACCCAGCTCAGTATAGGCCACCCCCATCTTGGCCTTTGCTATTAGATGCTGCAGCCTGGCCTGACCTCACCTGCTCCTAGTCTCAGCACTCATTGATGGGTGCTGCAGCCTGGTCCTGCCCAATCTGTTCCCATCCCTGGCTCATACAAACTGGTAGATGTGATAGCTTAGCCTGGCATGACCCACACTCCAACCTGGCTCCTGCACCTGCCAATGGGTTAAGATACCCAGTCCACCCCGCTCCAGAACCAACCCACACATTTGCTGACAGGTAGAACTACCCTGTCCAGCCTGACCAACACCCAGGCCTGAATCGCATGCTCACCAGTGGGAGCTATGGCCTACCAGGGGAACTTCCCAAGTCTCCCCACCAGGCCCACTCCCAGACCCAGATCCCACACATGCCAATGGGTGCTAGGCCCTTACCCAGCATGTCTACGCCTTCTGTCCCAGGCTACATATGAGGTGGTGGATGTTGCAACTGGCCTGCTCCACACCCTATTCTTGGATGTGCCTGAGAGTGCTGCAGCTTGGTCCAGCTGGCCTGTACTCAACCCCAGTACCCATGAATTTTGGAGGGTTCCATGGTCATGCCTAGCTCAGCCTATCACCACACCCAGATCTTAAATCAGCCAGTGGAAATTGTGATTCCACAGGTGCAAGCCCATATATCCCCCACAGAATTCGCACCCAGACCTGATTCACTTGCATGCTAATTAGTGTCATGGCCTAGCTCAACACTGTCAGTCCCCTGTTCCAACTCTCACTGGTAGGTACTGTGATCTAGTCCTGTCAGGCAGTCCCTCTGCTCCAGCTTTAGTGTGCACCAGTGAGTGGTATTTGAGGTGGTCGATGTTACCCACCCAGCCCAGGTCCCCCACATGGGCTGGCACTTCGGTCTGACCCTAAAATGTCCTCTAGTTCCCCTCTCTGAACTACTTGGTCTCAGCCTTCTTGCTCACCTGCAAGTGCAGTCACCTTGTCAATGGATGGGAGTGCTTCAGTATTCATTCCTCACCTGTAACACACTCCCTCACTGGTCCTCCCTCCCACACATCTACCCACCCCCTTCCCTGGGCAATCTGCTCTGCTATGGTAACAGATGTTCTCTGCAGGCTCCATTGGACTGCCGTGTGTGTGTGTGTGTGTGCATCTGGGTATGCCCTCTTCTGCTCCATCTAAGCCACTGAGGAGGCTCAGATATGTAAGAACAGGCGCTTTGTCCATGCGGGTCCCTCAGAGGTCATTTCTCACCTGGAAGTGAGACTTCAAGTCCCTGCACCATGCCCCAGACCACCTGCGAGCCCACACCCTCAAGTGCTCAGAGGGTGCCACGCAGGCCTAGGCAGGTAACCCCAAGCCCCTCTAGTTTACCCCACCCCCAGGGCTCAGCAGCCCAGTCTGATGGCACTGCACATGCTGGCTGAAAGAACCTAAACCTAATAAATATTTTTAAATGCACTGATAGAAACAACTTAAAACTCCAAGATTAAAAAATTGCTTTAGATAATCTGTACCCAAATGTTCAAACATTGAGACTGGGACTCTGCTTTGGTTGTCCTTGCCATCTGCTCCTTTTTTCTTTTTTTCAAAAGTATTTGTTTATTTTTATTTGCAAGGCAGATTTACAGTGAGCCATATTTACAGTGAGAGAGAGAGAGAGAGAGAATCTTCCATCTGCTGATTCACTCCCCAAATGGCCTCAGTGGCTGGGGATGAACTGATCTGAAGCCAGGAGCCAGGAGTTTCTTCCAGGTCTCCTGCATAGGTGTAGGGTCCCAAGGATTTGAGCCGTCTTCCACTGCTGGTCCAGGACATAAGCAGGAGCTGTATGGGAAGTAGAGTAGCTGGGACATGAACTGGTGTTCCTTTGGAGTCTGATGATGTCAGCAGATTAGTGTGGAGTGCCACTGGGCTGGCCCCCTATGGCTCCTTTCTTAACCAGTTCTTAACCAGTATTTACCCACATGGCAGTGGCTTAAGGTTTACAATACAATTTAAGCTTACAATTCCCAGGGGGGCAAAACAAAGTCTATATGCCAAAATCCCGGGATTTGGCTGCAGACGATGAGGCTGAGGGTCCCAACTGACCGACTTGGGTTGCTTACCAGATCCAAGATAGTCTGGTGACCTTTTGACTCTTTGGATTCCTAGGGAAAAAGTTGGCCTTGGCCATAGTGCATGAATGGAGGTGTGTAGGGTCTTGGCATCCTAGGAGGAAAACAGAAGGGAGAATTGATACAGGAAAGGCAAAAACAACAGATTCCCAATGTGTGATTTACTGACTGTGCAACCTAGGACAGGATGTGCAAAAGGTTATCTGTGTAGTTAGGTTTTGAACTGAAACATGATGGCAATGACGATGATGACAACAACAGCGACACTGACCTCTCAGGTTGGGTCCAGTGACAATACAACATGGCAAGTGGAATAGTCCACACTGCCCAAATGTGCCACCCAATAAGTTTAGCCAAATCTGATGATAGACGGTCAAAGGGAACCTGGGGACCATTTGATCTAAGCCTTATTCTTTCTCTAATTTTCTGGGTTCAGAGGAAATGACCAGACAAGTCTGAGTTGAGGCAGCTTGCTGCATATCACACTGCTAGTAAGGAGCTGCTGAGTGGCTCAGATCTGGGATTTCACATGGCAGTGTCTTGCCATCTGGGATGCCAAGCGATGCCTTGCTCTCACAGCCTGCAGTTTCCCCACATGGCAGTCTTTTTCTCAAAGTAGAAGCATGTCTGCTGGTGATAAGGCTCCAGATCTGAGTCGATCTGAAGCCAGGAGCCAGGAGCTTCCTCTGAATCTCCCACACAGGTGCAGGTTCCAAAGGTTTTGGGCTGTCCTCAACTGCCCTTCCAGGCCACAAGCAGGGAGCTGGATGGAAAATGGTGCAGCCAGGACATGAACTGGCACCTGTATGGGATCCCGGCTTGTGAAAGGCGAAGACTTTAGCCACTTGCCATCGCATCAGGCCCATGCTGTGCTATTTCCCACCCAAGCTTCGTTCTGTTTGCACCTCCATCCTAGGAGATGAGTGTCATTTCTGTCTCTGTCCACGGCAGGATGCTGACACCAGCATCTCAAGAATCCATTCCAGGCAGTCTGACTCCGGAGCTCTGTCCTGGAGCCTCAACCCTTGCTGCCTCTAGAAGTTTTAGATCCCTGAGGGAATGGACCGCAGCTGACACCACAGTCCATTGGGCCCTTTGTAATAGCATGCACAAAGTGGACACTACTACCTTTCTGGCAAACTTATTACTAAGTATGTGCTTGCTAAAAAAAAAAAAAAAAGGCAAAGGGGCACATATTTGTCCTGATGATTGAAGTGCCTGGCGAGACTCACTCCCACATGCAGAGTACCCAGGCCCAGCTCCCGCTCGGCTGCTGATCCCAGCATCCTGCCTTGGCGGTCCTTGGGATGCAGTGGAGGGTCCAAGTCGTGGGTCCCTCCTGTGGCCTTCATGGGAGAACATGATTGAGTTCCTGGCTGGCTGTGGTTTTCTCAGCCATTGTGGGCACTTGACCAGGGAATCAGTAGATGGAACAAGTCTGTCATTCTCTCAAATATTTTTTAAGATAGATTATTTTAAAGAAAAATGTTGCATAAAATTCCGTGAGCGTTTACACATGAAGAGCATAGCATTGATTTTTCTGCATTAGACAATGTTTGATAGACATAGAAACACAATTAACTTTGTGTTTTGACAGCTTTTGCTGAGATTCGAGCTATGATTCATGTAATTAAGAGCCAAAGACAGGGACATAAGATGCGAGTTGAAGGTGGTGTCAGAGTGGGGATGAGGGCAGGAAAGTGCGAAGAAACACAGCAGTAGCCGTGTCACCCTCCACGGGCCGAGTGACCCATGTCGCCCTCCGCGGAAGCCCCTAGGGGCCGTGGGAAGTTGCCAGGCCTTTGTTGTCAGCACTAGTTTGGCCTTGCTTTGTTTCGTTCCACTTTGTTTGATGACAGTCTGCTTCCCCACAAGAATGAGGAGTTGCGCATCGGCCTGTTGTGGGAATGGGGTTGGTATGCTTCCCCAGACATCATCAGGTTGTGTTACGTTACAGTTGCCCTTTGGGAGTGTGGTTGTAGCCTGATGAGCACAAGATTCTGAATTTCTAGGATTTCATTAAGATTGCTGCCACTGAGCCAGGATAAAAATTCACGGACAGCTTCTTCCCTACCCACAATGCTAGAGTCCTTGTATTCCACGCTGTTCAATCCCAGTTTGTTCTGTTTATTTCTAACAAGTCACTTAGGGAAAACTTTGTCTTCAAGTTCTCAGCATAAAATACTTCTTTGGTTGTTCCAGTTACCTGAAAATTTCATGCTGCCCAGATTCACCTCCAAGGGCCAAACAGAAAGACCTGGGAAACCATAGCCCTGTCCACGAGTTAAGAGGGAGACTGAGGTGGCTTTTCTGGTCCATAGGTCTGTCACTGCAAGCGAAGCAGCACGTGGACAAAGCCAAGGAGATCCTCGCCACCTCCTTCGGGCCTCCGTACGCCGACAACACAGATGTTTTCAAGTGCTCTGTGGAGCTCTTCCACACCATGGGGAGAGCCTTACTCTCCCTGAAAAAGTATCCTTTTTGTCTGTGACCTTCACATGTGGAAATCCAACCCATGTTATGCTTGGGATTCCCAAAGCCAAAGGCAAGGCTGACGTGGCACTCAGGGCAGTAGGAGACTCGGGACTCGGGGGCAGAGGCAGCCGAGGACAAGGGTCCCGGAATGCAGGTCCAGCAGGGAAGTTTCCTGAACACACTTCAGATTTGACGAGGCTACAGAGAACCTGGAAAAAGCCGAGAGACTCTCAAAGGAACTGCTGCAATATGGAAGGATCATTAAGGAGGAGTGGGTGGAGAGCCAGGCGCGGATCAAGTGGTCGAGAGCACAGTAAGTTTCCTTGGGGACTGAGCGTGCTTGGTGTGTGTTCTTTGCCAGCGGGACTGCTCCCTCGGGCTGTACTGTGCAGGAAGGAAAGGGGGGCACGGCAGTGTAGAGGCAGCCCCCGCCAAGACATCCCCGCGTCTGCCCTCCTTGTCAAGTGCCTGGAGCTCTCGCCGTGGTTCTCCGGACGGTCTTCTAGCCCTTGCTCACTGTCCCCTGCCCCTGACTTTACACCCTTCCCTCCTCTCTCCCGTCCTGTTGCCCCCATGTCGCTCCAGTCTAAAATGCTTTAATGAATGGTTTCCAGGTTAGGGTCTTTGAGGAAAAAGATCTCCAAGTTACCTGAATCCATGCTCGTGAGAGGATTGCTCTTTGTTCCTCACCAAATAAATCCAGGGGGTATCAAGAGAAGGGGACTGGCTTTGGGTGGCTGGCACATTTGTCCCTCCCAAAAGGCCAGCCCCCAGACAAGTGCTGGGCGAGCAGGCATGCCCAGCTCTTTGGAAGGGTTGTTTGTTGTGGGAGGTGGGAGGGAAATAGCTGCCCTGCGAGAGGTGAAGGGGCCCAGCTGACCCAACAGAATCACTTTTAAGAAAGCCTTAGGAAAAGACCCTCGAACACACCAAATTCTCCCATCTGAAGGCAAAGTGGGGAGGACCAGCTTGGACCCGTGCTTTTAAAGGTGTGTGTGTGTGTGTGTGTGTGTGTGTGTGTGTGTGTGTGTGTGTGTGAGAGAGAGAGAGAGAGAGAGAAGAGAGGAGAAAAATTTGTTATGTTTATGAGTTGTGTTTTTTTTCCCACCCTACCTACCAAGTTCATTGGTCTGCACCAGTTCTTTAGTATGTTTTTTAATCCATTTCTCCCTTTATTTCTGAGCTTTGTTCTCATTTCACCCATGTCTAAAATATCTGTTTAAATGATGATCTCTGTCACTAGCCATATAACTCGGAATAAGTGGTGTTGCTTTGTGTAACCCACGAGTTCCAAGTCTGTGCAGCTGTGGACTATGAGTCTCATCCTGTTTCTTACTTTTCTGGTGCATTGTCACCATCACGGGCACTTTGTTGATTGTGTTTGGCTTCTGCACAGCGCTGCACACCTGCACTTGGCCCGTCTGCTTCCCCATCGCCCTGCAGTGGACACTCAGCCGTCTGCAGTTCAGTGCCACCACAGCACACTGCAGTGAGCATCCTAATGCAACCTGACGTGGCTAGCTCAGCCAGACTCCCTCTGAAATGGGTCTGCGATTTCTTTCTCAGTCCAGAGACTTTTTCAAGGTAGCTATGCTTGAGTTTCCATGTTTATGTGATTCTTTCCCCCAGGTTTTTTTTTTAATGTTCCTGATATCTAGTTTTATTTAGTTATGGACAAAAACATCATTTGCATGATACTAGCTCAGAAGCTTACGGCAGCGTCCTCTGCAGCCTGGCTCATGGTCGCTGTATGTGGCTGTCCCAAATGATGTGGGGCTGGTCTGTCCCCCTGCAGCTGTAGCTGTCCTGGTTGGTGTCAGTGCGCACAGTGAAGTTTGCATAAGGCTGAAGCTGGCTGGCACATGATGTCTCAGAACATAGCCGCTCATTAAGTGACATGTGGCCATGTGCTGCCAAGGAGACATATTCTTTGTTTGTTGTGTGTAATGCTGTTATGTATGAGGTTAACCTTATTAATTCTGTTCAAATTTGTGTCCTCATTTATTTTTTCCCAATTTGCCCTGTTAGATTTTTTTTTTAAAGATTTATTTTTATTATTTTTTCATTGGAAAGGCGGATATACAGAGAGGAAGATCTTCCGTCCGATGATTCACTCCCCAAGTGAGCGCAACGGGCCGATACTATGCCGATCTGAAGCCAGGAGCCTCTTCTGGGTCTCCCACGCGGGTGCAGGTTCCCAAAGCTTTGGGCTGTCCTCGACTGCTTTCCCAGGCCACAGGCAGGGAGCTGGAAGGGAAGCGGGGCTGCCGGGATTAGAACCGGCGCCCATATGGGATCCCGGGCGTGCAAGGCGAGGACCTTTAACCACTTGCACCACCGCGCCGGGCCCTGCCCTGTTAGATTTTAGGATTGGTCTGTTTAAATCTTCAGCTGCAAACGGGCTATCGTCTCCCTGTAGCTCTGCCAGTCGTTTTGTCGGGGGGAGAGAAGAATCCCACAGTAGCTTGTCTTGCTTTTCTATTACTTCATTGATAAGTACAAATTGTCCCTTTTTTGTCCCCTATCTTTATTTGACCCTTGCTCTTTTTAATGTCTTTTTTTTTTAATCCTTATTTGGGTTTAAATTATCTGTCTTACCAATTTTTACATTTCTTTTATCTTTCCTAGCTTCCTTTTATATTAACCAAGTATTTTTAGTTTTTATCCTTCCTTTTCACCTGTCCACTGACTTGTAGGTCATACCTGGTTTTATTTTATTCTGGTCATTTATATCCGACTTACGAGGAGTGAGTTGGAAGTCAGTTAGGCTCCCACAGGGCACCAGTAGGACCCTTTCCTGTGCTAACACTCTGTGGCCTTTCTGCTTTGCTGCTGTTTCCCATTGCTCCATTGGCATGTCTTGTTCAGCATGGCACAGTCTAGCACTGTGTTTGTCACGCACATAAGAGGTGCAGGAGTTGTATCTAGAATGTGCAAAGACCCCTATATAGTAATGAAACAAAGACGCAACAGGAAAATGTGCAAGTGGCTTCACAGAAAGGGTAGCCACATAGCTAATGAACATGTCAGAAGATATGTTATCATGAGTTATCAGAATAATGGAAATGAAAACACATAACATACTACTGTATCCCCACTAGAATGGCTGGAAGAGTTTAAAGGACTGGTGATATCAAGTGTTCAACAGTGTAGGATAGTTTTTTTTTTTTAAATTTTACTTATTTTTATTGGAAAGATAGATCAGATTTACAGAAAGAAGGAGAGACAGAGAAAAAAATAAAACTTCTGTCTGCTGATTCACTCCCCAAATTCCCACAATGACTGGAGCTGAGCCAATCTGAAGTCAGGAGTTGGGAGCTTCCTTGAGTCTTCCATGCAGGGCCCCAAGGCTTTGCGCCGTCCTCCACTGCTTTCCCACAGGCAGGGAGCTGGAAGGGAAGTGGAGCAGCTGGAACAGCAACTGGCGCCCATATGGGATCCTAGTGCTTGCAAGGTGAGGACTTAATCATAGCGCAAGGTCCAGGATAACTTTTGAATGTTTCCACCACTTATGTTAGATACTGGAAGAAAACAGATGTTTGCTCTTGGTGGATCCTTTGCACTGTACACATGTTTTGAAAACTCACAGAGAAATTATCTTGACATTTCATACAATCTTTATGTGTCAGTTAACTTTTCCTACATGTTGTAGAACGTCAGAATGGATGAAATTGTGATCTGTGTAACCAAGAACTGATCAGACTGCGCCTGTGCTTAACTTCCTGGGGGACTCCCATGAACATGCTCATTGAGAGAAATCAGGCCCGGAGAGGCTTCCTGTAGCATCGCAGCGTGTCTAGAAGGAAGAGCAAGAGCATGGGTGCAGTGACCAGAAAGGCCAGTGGGTCCAGAATCTTCCTGCCCGTGATTCGGTATTCCATCTTGTAAGACAGAAAATACATGACTCAGAGGTCTGAGATGTGGTATTTGTTGCATCTGTGGAGGTCTGACTCATGTATTATTGCTTAATATTGAGCAGTGTTGCTACAAAACAGTAAATTATCCTCTGCCAGAACCTGGCACTTTCTCGGAGAGTAGCTTTCCAAATGAGCAGTACCAAACCGTGCCAGCAGATGGCAGGCTTAGACGCCTCTGTGCGGAGCACACGGCAGGAGCTCCAGTGCAGGCTGATCTGCAAAAGTATTCAACAGAGTCATTTCAAGCCTTGCCAGTCTTTTCATCCTGATTCTTTACTGTGGAATCTTTCGGGGGCAGGGGAGGAGCTGGGAGGAGGGAAGGCATGCATGACTTTCATTCATTTACTCTGCTTTCTATCCTCATGAAAGCGTAACTGTTTTGTCCAAACGGAGCTCCTTTGGGAAGTGACAAGGCTCTGGCTTTGTCCCTGTCTGTGGCCACGCAGGAACCCCAGCAGCCTTTTCCTTTGCTAGGTCTTGGGGATGGAACGGCCAGGATAACTTCTCAGGCAGTTCTCCTAGGACCTGCATGCCCCTTAAGGGAGATCTTTCTGTGTGTCCTCCTCCGCCGTCTGCCTCTCCTTTTATGGTGCCTGGGAGGCCAGGCCGGTGCCTTCCTCGTTGACTGACTGCTAAGTGCCACAGAGTGAGTCATGCCTGGTGCTTTCCATCCCTGGCAGTGCCCAGACGTTCCTCCCTTTGCCCCACCTCTGTTCCAGCCCTACTTCCTCCAGTACCACCTTACTGATTTAGGAGGATGAATTCGACTTGTGTGGTGTCCCTGCTGTATTTCTATAAAGCAGTTAACTACCCCAGGGAAAAGCAGGCACACTTTCCCCAGGTATATAGTTAGCTACTGTCCTGGTCACTGAAGGATAGATCCACAGGAACAGCAGCTGTGTTTGTCTCTACCTGTGATACTGCCATGCACAAATGTGTGTCACACACCCCTTTCTAAACGATCTCTCCATGTGGCACGGTGGTGACGCTGCTCCAGAGCCACAGCCATCCCCAGCTTTTCTGCACCTGCACATCATCTGCAGCCTGCCCAGCAAGCACTGGCCTGGCCTGGCTGTGCTGAACAAGTCCAGGAAGAAGTAAATATTTCGGGGAGTCAGAGCATCAACAGGACACCCAACAGGTTCAAATCAGTGTTCATTTAGACCTGCCTGCTCCAGGAACTTGGACAAATCTTTCCTTCTTCTGAGCTTCCCTCTGACCCCTTGTTAGTTTCAGAATGGTAGGACCATGGCAGGTTTGTGGGAAGAATAAGTGAACGTGTTTTTAAAAGCATCTAGGAGGCCGGTGTTATGGTTGCTACACCGGGTCAAGCTGCCACCCTCAACAACTGCACCCCATGTCAGGGTTCCATCCCGGTTGTTCTACTTCCCATGAC